ATGTATTTAACTCGAATTTGGCTACAATAGGCTCCGTTCTTAACTATGGGTCGTCCTTAAACCGGGTGTTCTTAATTCGGGAACTACCTGCGTATAGAACAACGGCCGCAACTAGAATCACGATAGAAAAGCAGGACCTAAAATGATTACGCCGTCATAATAAAACTAGCTGCCCAATCAGAAGAAAAGCATTCAGCCTTCCTCGGATATCTTCTAGGTGTGTGGGATGTCAATGACCCTCATCGCCAAACCCAGCATGGTCAATGGCTGTGCCAGCCGGAGGATGTCAAGAATTGGTTCAACGTAGCAGCAGCAATTTCTTCGAACCGCAAGTGGTTTGGGAAACGACTTTTAAAGGTTTCCCACTGGGAAAGGATTGTAGGATCAACACCCAGCATGGAGTGAGCATTGCAAACAAGGGGTACAATTACTGAAAAGGCTGCCTGACATTCCCCAGATCAAACTATTAACATTCCAGCTAACCTAGTATGGTTTATTTGACAGGAAGCAACTTTTCAAATGAGCTCTGATAAGGTTCAAATGATACACGCTGATATCAGGGCGTCACTCACAGAAGAACTACAGAAAACTCTATTTCCCGCCCAAAAGAGATTCCCTTCTCATCCTCAACACCGAGCAGAGGGGAGAAAGAGGTGCCCAAAACGGGAAGACTGATTGTTATAAATAGAGCTCTTGTTTAATACACAGCAGCACTGGAATGCTTTCATAATGGCTTCAGCATTTTGCTACAACAAATGTACTTACGTAGATTTATTGTAACAAATGGGAGCGTTTATGTCCTGGAAAATGTATTGCACGGCGTTTTGCTTTGCTAACCAAGAAAGGCCAGATATAAAACCCTGTGCTACCGAAGATCCTTTTACCTGAAGGCCCCAAATTTCAGAGCTGGAATTTCCTCTATACACGGATTAAGCGCTCCCCTGCTAAACTTTAGCCCTCGGCAAAGAAAGAGCCAGAAAATTCAGCTATCCCTGCATGTCAAGCCTTAATGCAAGGGTGAGACCCTGTGGTCCTTCAAGGCGGTTAGATTGCAACTCCCATCATCCTTAGCCAGTCCAATCAAAGATTTCCAGCAACACCAGGAAGATGTTTTACCTCCTTGCATAACACGGCGATGATCCATTATAGAGCAAAGGGTCAGAGAACAGCCGATTCTGCCAGAAAGAATCCAGATTCTCTGCCTGAAACTTATGTTTTATTTTTTAAAGCAAGCCTTTGGTACTTTCATTTACGCAGATATAGAGAGGAAAAAAAATGTGCAGACTAAATTCAGACTGTACCTCCATTTGATAATACACAGTCCCTATCTTCCTTCCAAACAACACGCTCAGAGTAGTTATATATTAAAACCACGGATTCAGATTTGACTTGGAACGAGTTATGAAAAGCAGCCCCGTTAAACAAAGGTTATTTTTTGCTCTGCTGGTTTTTCTTCACTCCCACCTCCATGTTGTCTAGAACAGCTCCATCCTTATTTTTGGCCTCCGGATTCGACAGGGTGCACGCTTCTGAAAGAATTTCCCTTTAGCAAAACGAGATCTGGAGAAATCCAGCGACTCCGTGGGAACCGCGGTGGATGGGATGAGAAACTCAGCTGGGGCACCAAAAATTGGAATGCAGTTGTGTCTGAATTGTCAACACAACACAAAAAGTTGTGTTGACACTTTTTAAACTTTTAAAGGTGAGAGCCAGTTTGGTCTAGGGGTGAAGGCATCAGGCTGCAAAGCAGGAGACGGTGAGTTCTAATCCCGCCGTAGGCAAGAAAGCCGGCTGGGTGACTTTGGGCCAGTCCCTCTCTCTCCGCTTGGCCCACCTCACAGGGTTGTCATTGTCAGGAAAATAGGAAGAGGAAGGAGTATTAAGAGTCTTAGTTTGCCGCCTTGAGTTATTTATAAAAATTAAAAAGGGGGGATAGGAAAAAAAAACCCTAAACTGCATTATTCCAGCCAGCTAAAAAGCCAGGAAGGAATCTTTGCCAAGCATGGTTTATAATGGGCCAAACGGAGCTGTCCAGCAGACGCCACCATTTTTTTTTTAATTAAAACACAGCCATGTAGATCGGATCAAATCTTTATTACGGTCGTAGACCAGCATAAGGCTATATATATAACGATCTGTTCTGTAATTCCAGTTCAGAATACTGCAAATTTTTCCCAGCTGAGCAGCCCAAGATTCTTTAAAGTGCAGCGGTCGGGGATCCCATCTGCGGATCGATCTTCCTACCTTTTCTGCAGTTTTCTCCTGTTGCAAGCGGGTAGATCTTCTCATCGGGGTGTCAGTGACTTGGCTTGGAGCAGCTAGTTTCTTCCTCATTTTGTGCTGGAGGAAATAGCTCCCCCTAAAAAAAATAAAAATAAATCCCACCTTTATCTAGCCACGACTCAGCGGCAGGGCCGAACAAAATCTATCTTTTTAAAGAGAAGAAAATCTAGCCAACTCACAGAGACGTTAAAGGAGGGGGGGACAACTACAGATGGATTTGAAAATGACAAGCACGGCAGCAATTGGTTGGTGAGTTATGGTTTACACGCACCGTTTTGCACAACTGACTCCTAGCGGTCGAGGGAGCAAGAAACCTCTGTTGGTTCAAAGCAGCCCTTTTGCATAAACGCCTTCAAGCCGGAGGGGGAAATAAAATGATATATGAATGCATAACAAAGGGAATTTGGACTTGGTCAGAATCTTGGTCCCACATTTGGAAAGTGAACCTGTTGGAAATTAAATCACCTTTTTTGCATTTAGCTTTTGGCACACCAGGGGAAATAGAGAGTTCATAACAGGGAGAGTAACACGCTTTTGGCCTGAAATAGAACCAATGTCTGTTAATGTTCGTTGGGAGCTGGGCTAAGCCTATATTCTGGGTGCAAAGCAACTGTACAATGAATATTTTTTCTTTTTAAGGAGACTCTTGGCTACTTAATTACTTGGGATTCATATTGCACTCTGCATACGCTCAGGAACCCAGCCTCTAACAAAAGCACCTGCTGAATTCGAATCTCCAACAGCAACAATGTTTCTTCCCCCCCCCCTTTTTTTTCTTTCTATTTCTTTTCTCTTTAAATGATTACAAAGAGGGGGGATATCAACGACAAGTTTAGAGGTTTTGTAGAGATGTCTAGTTATTTCCTAAGATGACAGGATGAACTTAGTTATATACATGTAGTTAATTAATTAATGGAATCATGAATTTCAAAGTTTTGCAGTTGTCAACTCTTTACTTAACTGCTCTTTTATTCTTTATCCACTATGCCTCCATCTTTTTTTTAATCTTTTATGTAGCTATTTCTTCTCTTTCTTTAAATGTTTTAATAAATAAACTATTAAAAAAAGAAACAATATTTCACATTGTTGCCCAGATCCTAAACCAGTGTTTTCCTCCTCAGCCTAAGAAGTCCTCCAGATTTTGGTAGAACTGACTTTCTTGTAACTAAACCTAGAATTACGCTAACTCCTGGTTTACATCTTTAGGACTGCAGCAGTCATGTGAAACAGCACCATTTCAAAATCTGAGATAAAGTTGCCTATAAATTCAAATTAAATCAAATCTTTATTACGGTCATAGACCAGCGTAAGGAAGGTGGGGTACAGTCAATTACAAACAGAGAAGATACCTCAGAGTCTAAAAAAATGATGGAGAGCTAGAAGATATAAAATATATATAATAAAACAGAAAGTATATATAAAAAACAAGCCTAAAAGAAGGAATAGGAGCATTAGATGGGTATGGGGGGACATAAAAGGTTCCCCTTCTACTATATAGAAGTATATTTTTAGACAGAGCACTAAATTACTAAATTACAGAGCACTCCTACAAATTTATTTTGGCATATTTATCTGTTTTTGATGACAACATATCTAGAGCAGGGTTTCTCAGCCTTGGCCATTTGAAGACGGGTGGACTTCCACTCCCAGAATCCTCCTGGCTGGGGATTCTGGGAGTTGAAGTCCACCTAGCTTCAAGTTTCCAAGGATGAGAAACCCTGGTCTAAAGCAAGGAAGCAAATGACTGGCAATCAGATCTCCACAAAACCAGATCATAAAATCCCCATTAGAAAGGGATTCTATAAATCCCCAATAGAAAGGGATCACCTAATTCTTCTACTCAGGAAACTTGCAATTCAGCATCCATCCATCCTCCTTCCTTCCTTCCTTCCTTCCTTCCCCTTTCTCTCTCTCTCTCTCTCTCTCTCTCCTTCCTTCCTCCCTTCCTCCCTTCCCTTTCTCTCTCTCTCTCTCTTTCCTTCCTTCCTTCCTTCCATTTATTAAATTTATATGCCACCCAGGGTGACTCTGTGTGGCTCGCAATTAAATTGGCTCTTAACCTGCATGTCATCAATTTAAATTACAGTTGGGACACTACTAAACCAGCACATATATTGTAACCCTACAGAGCCTCTAAAACCATCATGCAAAATTCTTACAAACACAATATAGAGAATATTCATTGAAATGACAACCGTGTCTACTTCCTGAATGCTAAACATTCAAATAGTAGTATATGTTAGAATAATGTAAGCTGGCCCAATGATGAGCATTTTGGATTAAAAACATTTACTGTCTATCTTGATGGGGGAAAAGCCCACATTTTTTTATTCCCCCCCCCCCAACAATTGCAAAGAAAATTTTGCTGGGACCCTGTTTTGCACCCTCGTTGCAACGATTATTTCTACAGGGTTGCAACAAGAAAAAAGATATCTAGAGGAAGCAAGAGAAGGGCTTTGTTTAATTACAGGTTGCTGTAATTAAAATACAGATGATGGCATTTAAAGGGCTTCCTTTATTAAAAGTCATATGGTTAAAAAGAATTAATAATGCATTATATTTATTCTGAAAAGGGTTTTGCTCTGACTAAAAATAAGAGGTTTGTGCTCCTTAGCTTAGTATTTCAAGCAATGGCTCATTATAACAGCTGCATTGTTAATTTGCATCTTTCAATATTTACAGAACAGCCCCCGCCCCTCCTTGGTAACCGGGGAAACCGAAGTTCCGCCTCCTCCTCCTCGCCTCTTGGGTTTTCTTCTGAAACGCTATTCCACCAATCACCGTTAGGGGGGAACGGCGGCTCAGCCACTGACCCTCGAAAACGTTGGCGCCGCCGCGCGCCTCCTCCAATCGGAGATCCGGGTCTGAGTCACGCTCGGCCAATAAAAGGAAAGAGCAGGCGGGGCCAGCCCCAATCGCCTTTCATCTCGCAGCCGCGCCCAGGTTGGACGAGGGCGGCGACGGGCGGGAATGAGCGCGGCGAGGGAGCCATTCAGGAGCAGAGGCGCCCTGGGAGTGACAGCTGATACTCCGCCTTCCCGGAGGGGGGCAGAGGCGAGTGGCCAATCAGGCAGAAGGGGGCGGGTCCCTGGAGGCCTCTGCTTTGTGGTAGGTAAGTGGGGGAAGGAAGGGGTCCCTCCATCGCCCAACGCACCCCCTGTTGGGGGGGAGGAAGAAGGGCGCCCCGTGATCCATCCACCCGCCTAGCTTCTCCTTAAAAAGGGGGGGCAGCAGTGGGGGGCCAATTAAGGAGTCAGCATTGGGGAGGGGGCGCAGAGATATAATGGGGAGCAGCCCCCGACATGAGTGGGAAGGAATTACAGGGGTGCAGAGAAGAGGGGGCAATTGGGGAGGGGGCAACAGGTCCCCCCAACTTTGCAGAGGGGGAGGAAATGGTGGGGGCAGTTTAATGGGGGGGAGAAAGGAGTCTGCCAGCCTTTGCTCCCCCAATCCTGGGGCCCTCCAGATGGGCTGGGGTTACAGCACCCATCATGCACTGCCCATTGGATGCCCGGTGGGAAGGGCTTGGAAAAAGCTGGGTAGATTTTATGTATTTTTCTAGGTTCTTAAATTGTTGGCAGCCAAGAAGGGGACCAGGTCACATAAGCTGTAATGAATCATCATCTGATAGGCCATGATCGGGGAAACTGGGCCTGATGTTCAAACTGGCTGATCTTTGAGAGGCCCCAAATCCCTTAATTTAGGATGCTGGGGTCTGTGTATGATGGGGGTGGGATCTAAATGGGATAAAGGATGTACGAATCAATGATGGTCTGTTCTACAAATCCCAGTTATGCAAACCAGGACTTACAATATTGACTCTCTGCCCAAGCCTGGGGTGTGTAACGGAGCCTGTTTTCCAGCTGCGTGGAAGACCTTGAGTGATCCTTCAGCTGCTATACATTTTATTTTTCCTGGGTTTTTATTTTTTAAGCTTAGTTTAGCCACTGTAGGTATTTTATTCTAAAACTTCGTCGCCCAGAGTCATGGGTACGAGATGAGCAGTCATATAAATCGAAGAAATAATCAACCCATGGAAATCTAGAATAAAAAACTGGTCTGATTCCTAAAATAGAATCTGCCACCCAGAATCTCTGGGAATCGGGCAGCATATAAATCTAATAAACTATGACGGTTAGGCACAGAGTCAGCCAGATGTTTAGACTGGATTTGGCATTTTTATCCACCCATCAAGTATTATTATTATTATTTGCTTCCAGCAATGATTCTTGTTCTCTCCCTCTCTTGTCGGCTGCTCCAAGTGGGCCAGACTATGTCTTTAGCATTCCTGCTGTCCTGAAAGAGCCCGCGCGATGGAGTTCCCCGACCACAGCAAGAACTTACTACGAAGGCTTTGGGAACAGCAACACGAGGGGTTTCTCTGTGACTGCACGGTCCTGGTGGGCAGCACCCAGTTCCTCGCCCACCGGGCCGTCCTCGCCTCCTGCAGTGCCTTTTTCCAGATGTTCTACAAGGAGCGGCTGGATAAGCGAGACTTGGTCTCGATCAACAACGAGATTGTCACGGCGCCTGCCTTCGGTCTCTTGCTGGAGTTCATGTATAAAGGGAGCCTCTCCTTCAGCGACATGCCGGTGGAGGACATCTTAGCTGCGGCCAGTTATTTGCACATGAACGACATCGTCAAGGTGTGTAAGAAGAAGCTGCAAGCTCGGGCTTTGGCAGAAGCTGACAGCACAAAGAAGGAGGAGGAATGTCTGCTTCAGCCCCCGCAAGCCCAGGCCTTATCCTTGCCCCCACCTCACTCCTGCAACCCAGAGAAAAACAGAAAAGACTGGAAAGCAGGAGAGAAAATGCCTTCGGAGGAACCGCTGGCCTCCACGCTGGATGTGGCAGATACCACGCAGCCAGGCATGGAAGCGCCTTCCTCCGCTCGGCCTCTTCCACCTCCTATCGTGGACGTCTCCCTCTCCAGCCCCAGCAGTTCCACCGAAACTCTGTTGTACAGCTGTTTTCCCGCTGGGAACGGAGCCGAAGGGCCATCCAGCGTAGATCCCCCTCCGGAGAGGTATGCCGAACAGCGGGCTGGGAGCACCAGCACGTTTGGGCTCAAGGAGCCAAATCAGTCCTCCACCAAGGTCAAGGTGGAGGCCATCGTGATCTCGGATGAGGAGCCTGATGCGGCAGAGCAGTTGGAGGGACCGACCCCTGACCTGAGGCTAGAAAGCGTCTTCCAGAAATCCGGCGGGGAGGTGGGCTTGGGGGGAGGCTGTGGGCGCCACCCGGACAGTTTTGAAGAGCCCGGCGGGATGGAAGAGGTCTCTTCGGAGAGCAACTTCCTGCCCCAAGAGCACGGGCCATACCACATGATCCATGTGCCCGGAGGACAAACCTTTTCCACCATGGTGACTCCTCCCTTGCACGAACAGATCTACTTGCAGGATTACGAGTCCCACTCTAACTTTGGCCTTTTTACCGAGGAGGTACCCACTTGTAAGACGTGTGGGAAAACCTTCTCCTGCTCCTACACGCTGCGCCGCCACGCCACCGTCCACACCCGGGAACGCCCGTATGAATGTCGCTACTGCATGCGGAGTTACACTCAATCCGGAGACCTCTACCGGCACATCCGGAAGGCCCACAACGAAGACCTGGCGGTGAAACGCTGTAAACATGACGTGGAAAATCCTTCCTAGGGCACGCTGTTGATTCCCAGAAGAAAAGGCAGAATCCTCTGGTCTTCTCATTCCTGCAAGAAGCCCCACGGCTGGTTTCTGGTTTTCCCACTTCCTCCTTGGCTGGGTCGTTTTGCCCGACTTCGTAAATGTCACCCTGTCTACAACTGCTGCAGAGATTGGGTGTTTGGTTTCCCCTTAGGGGCGAACGCTTTGCCAGCGCAGAGTCGCCTCCAGCCATTCCCTACACCACGACTGGAAATTAGCCACCATAAACCATCACCGAACGAGGATGGCTTATCTTCTGTATTTATTTGTGGGTTAAACTGCCGGTACAGCGAGTCTTCTAAAGCCGGTGTTTTAGCCCTCTGAAAGATCAGCCTCGCTGGGTTGTGGGCAGATCCGTTCTCCGTCACGGTGGCAGCTCAGAATTTCATTTGTGGGGACGGGAAACGATTGGCGTCCTTGTGGCCGAGGGGCACCAGGATCTGATGTTGGTTGTAATGGTACAAAGTGGGCAAAACTCATTGGCAAAAAGGTGCAGGATCTCTTTTTAAACGCCGTAACACTGCCTAAAGTGAGTGGGCGGCAGATTGCTTCCGACCCAACTGGATGCTGAAATATTGCGGACGAGGAACTGGTTTGAGCCCTCCACCCACCCAAATGTTGGGGCATACTAGAACTCTTCTTCCCCATCTCTGAATGACGTCCTTCTTTCTCCTTCCAAGCAGCCACTGCCATTTGCCATGTTCCAGTTCTCTAACCTGTTTGTTCTGTAAGTAGTTCCAATACAGCCTTATTGCTAAAGACACATATTCCACAGTAAAAAGAAAAGAAAAATCAAAACTCAGCGCTTCTGAATCTCTTGGGGTGTACGGGACTTCATTTTCCACCTCTAACGGAATACTTACCCAACTGAAACATGTTTAGCTTTAGTCGCACAAGTGTGTTGGGTTCTCGGCATTCCCTGAACTCGGTTGTTTTCCTGCAGACGTTTCGTTACCAGCCTAGGTAACCTCACTGCATGGAGGAGTGAAGTTTGCTGGCTGTTTATATATAGCAGCAAACCCTTCTCTCCCACACACTGATGTCATTACCTAGCCTGGTAGTGAAACGTCTGCAGGAAAACCAGCTTAGAGACCGCCAGGAGCCCAATAGTTCAAACCTGTGCCACGTTGGGCATCAACCGCTGTTCCAGAGGGGGATGAGCCGAAGTATTTGGTCTGCCAGCTAACTTTTAAGACAGAAATCACATATCGCTCTTATCGATGGTTTGCTTTATCAGGTTGTATAGCATAGGGCACAATGGGCTGAATTGGTGCAAGATCCTCTCACAAGCCCTTGGATGGTTTAGCGCAGAATTCCCCAGCTAGCAAAGTTGAAGTCTGCACCTCTTAAAGTTGCCCAGTTTGAAAAACACTAGTTGATTGTGTGAACCTGGCCCTAAAGCAGGCATTGTAGGAGATAGTTGTAGCCCACTTTGGGGGGGGCTGGAAGCTATCCAAGTGATTTTCCCCCTTTTGGGTCTTCATTAGTGATCCAGCTGCTACGTGGGAAAAATTTGGTGTAGAGGACATTAAGTCTGCTTTCCGGAGGTAGGAGTTTGAACGAGGATCTTGGAACCAGCCCGCCCAAAACTGGGTTTTGCATTGCCCCAGCTTAAAAAGGAAGAACAAACTTTATGCAGTTCCTTGTTGCTAACCACGCTGGCTGAATTAAAGGGTGTAGACTTAAAACAGGAAGCTGGTTTTGTGTGTTCGTCCCACCAACAATTTAAATCGTCGTAAGCCACTGTGCTACCCAAGAAAGATTTTTCTTACATCACATTGTGAACCAGAAGTGCTTCCTGTTTTTTTCCCCCCCCCACCCACTCGTATCTCTTCTGACTCCTAATTCTCATTCTGCAGGCCATTTGAAAGCATTCAGCCACTTACCAAGACTTAGGCCGAAACCAAGATTTAGCACCGTTCCTTACACAGTTAAGGAAGGCTACGACCCCGTTTGAAGCTAAGAGTTTGGTTTGGAGCAGAGAAACAGTCTCTGTTTATTGGGGTGTCAGGATTGTTGTAGAGGAAACTAGGGGGAGAAAATCATTCCCCCTTTTTCACTCTGAAATTGGAGCCAGAAGAAAAGGAAACCAGGCTTAAACTCCTGTTTGCTAGTCAAAATGGAAGAGCTGAGAAATACTCCAAATGAACAATGATGTTGTTCCCCTTCTCCAGGGCTTGCCAACCACATGCAATTTACTTTTGATTTCTACTTTAGCCATTTCCAACATTTCTTTTTCTGCAGTTTTTTTTTAAACACTTTCAATTTAAATTCACCAGCAGCAATGAAAACAAGCTCGCTCCTTCTCCCCCCGCAAACCGGGCAAGAAAAACCTTTGCTGATCTGTTGCCCTTTTAGATAGTTGTGATTCCTTTGGTGGGTGCCTCAAGTTAATCCTCTAGTTTGCACAACCATCAGCATTGAGTTCTCTCTACACTGGAGCTGAACTGAACTACAACTCCCAGCAGCCTCAGCTGGTACGGCCAAGGGAAAGGGATACTGGGAGTTGTACCCCAACAGCAGCTGGAGAGTCCCCATCTCTGTCTTGCTTTGGGGACGTGAGAAAAACCACGATTTGGGTTTTGGACACTGGAAACAGCAGAGGACTCAGCGTTTGCCCCCAAACTGAAGCAGGGTGCTGTATCCTGGCGCATCTGGAGCAGAAAAGGAAAATATTTATCCAAGATCAGGAGGAAGCAAAGTTCTTAGCTAGGCCTCCTTTGAAAAGCACCAAGGAGAAGACATTGGCCCCAAACGGTTCCCGCAGCTCAGGAACCCCAAATGGACTTCGCCTTCCCGTAAAAAACCTGTCCTGCCCACTGGGAAAAACAGAAGCGCTCCAGGTTGTATGTTCAGTGAAGGTAAACAGATCTAAAGACGCATGTTCAGAACGGTGTAATCCAGAAGAAAGGCGGCCAGGATGGGGAAGGAGGAGACTACCCATCCCGTCTTCCAAGGGGTCGACGGCCCTCATCCGAACATCTCCTGGGAGGCGTAAGTGATGTAGAGGAAGCCGTCCTCGTCTTTGTAGGTGGTGTAGACTTCAGCCATGGTGGAGGACATATTCACAAGACTGTGGTTGCCGTCCACGAGGAAGTAGAAGGCCTGCGTGGATCCGAGGGCCATCCTGTTGCTGGGGGAGAAGAACAGGCAGCTTTGAGGTCTCATCCTTGCCACTGTGCGGGGGGCGTTTTTGCCATTTCGAAAGCCTCTTAGTGTGGCCAAAGGGGGTTGCCAGGATGGTCCAATCTGGTTTGGAAACTAGCTAGGAAGCAAACTGGAGCCCCCCCCAGCTGATCCCCCTTAGATCTGACTTTTTCCTGCATTTTTATTTCCAAAGAGCACCGACGTAAGCCTACGCAAACGAAGGTTTTCCTTTGCGCTGGAAAGGAATATTATAATAACCTAATTCATTTTTTCCCCCCTTTCTGCAGAAATGTAATAGGAGTTTGGCTTCCTGCAGGGGAACAGGTAAATCCAATTAGCCCCACCACTGCTTCGGTCAGACCTGATAAATGGTTGCGGGGACAGGTCGCCATTCAGCAGGCACCCCATAAATCTTTTTGTTATTTTTAAAACAGCCTGTTGGGTTGAAAAAAAAAAAGTCTACCAAACTGAAAAGACGCCTTTGCCAAAATGCCCTCTCCCCGGTCTTCTTTTAAGTTGGCCATCCTTCCCAACCAGAATAAGATTGCTCAGAGTAGAATCACGGGGTGGGAAGAGATCTCGGGATCTTGATTTACGGGGTGGGAAGGGATCTCGGGGATCTTGATTCATGGGGTGAAAGGGATCTTGAAAATCTTGCTTGCTCATTTGAGGAATCCAACAACCCCCACCCCCAGTTGGCAATCACGATTTAATGACTTGGTTTTCAAATGCAAATCTAGCCAGTTGGGAGCTAATCACACCCCATTTAAAATTGAATGGTTAGCAGAAATAAACCCTGAAGTGTCCATTTGCATTTTTCGCCTTGGACTGCCATGGATTTCAAATACTCACCGGATGATGGTTACGAACTGGCCCATGGTGAAGTCTTGGGGGACTAAAAATTTAATCTTGTTCAAGGCTGGTAACATTTTCTCCTTCGGGTAGCGTTCCAGGATCACCTGTAATTAACCAAGAACGGAGTTTGAAAGATAAGCACGCACCTAACTGTGTGTTTGTGCACGAGCACAAACACACGTCTTGTGGGTTTGCATACGCGTACAAAGCAAGGGGGACGTGAAACCCAACCCCCCCCAAGAAACAGCCCAAGCAAAAGAAAGAAAGAAAAATAGACCCAAGTCCACTCCGATTGTGCAAATAGGCTGCTTCAAAGTGCAAGAGACCCACCCTTAAGAAACCCACTACTTCCCAACACACCTACCGGGAGTTTATAAGGAAACTTAATCCGAATTGCAGTTACTTCGTTTTTCCTCGAAGCTAGAACAAACGTTTTTCGAAAAATGGAGTTATGGTGGATTCTTGGTGGACATTCCCAGGTTTAATTCCCAGGGACTGGTTTCCTACCCCTGTAATTAGGTTCACACATCACACTAAGCCTTGATTGAACCATGATTTGTTAAAGGAATCACGATTAGCAAAATTCACCCGGCGCGCTAAGCCGTAGAATGTGACCTTGCAGAGCCCAAGAGCTGTGTTTACAACCTGCCAAACTTAGAAAACATGGGTGCCTAGTTAGGGATTCAGCCCATTGCATGAACCCCCTCAAAATGGGGTGATTGTAGTCCACCATCCCAAACCATGGGTGTCAAAGGCCAAACCAGACCTAACTCTGGTTTATTGCAACATCTAAAGTTTGTCTCTCTGCAGCAACGTGGCTTCCCTGATCGGATATCTTTCAGCAGCCTTAACCCCAAATCAGCAAGGTTATGTTAGCTGGGAACGATGGGATTTGCAATACCACCCACCTAGAGGGCTCGGAAAGGTGGCTAGATCCACGGAAGTGGGGTTTGCTGCATTCTTACCGCATCCTTAACCACAAACTAACCAGTCATGTTTTATGCTAGCATGTTGGATGAACCTAGATCAGCGTTCCTTAAACTTTTTTCCCCCCAGGACCCCTTCCCCCTCTTAAAAATTACAGAGGCCCCCAAAACAGCTGTTGTTTGTAGGGGTGATATTTATCGATATTTACTGCATGAAAAGATTAAAATCGATGCTGCTTCTGCCCTTACGGCTTCTGATGATTTGATGGGGTTTTAATAGACGACTATTTTTCAACAGAGGCTGGCAAATCATTTCGTTTTCACAGACCCTGAGAGGGTCTTGGGGGGTCCTAGAACCACAGACCCTGACCTAGGTTATTTTACAGATGGGTGCCCAGAAAACCGGGTTAACTGAGTCAACTAGGGCAGTGTTCCTCAACCTTGGCAGCTTGAAGATGTGCGGACTTCAACTCCCAGAATT